GACATCATAAACGGCTCTGCTGTTAATTAAGTGAATTCAAACATGCATTTATGACTGGAGACTGCAAATCTCTTTAATTTTTTCGTTACAAAAGCGTTTTCTCTGCTGACAGCAACGTGCTGCGAATGCACATGTTTGTCTTTCAATTCAAACTCAATAAACAGTAATTTTACTGATTACTTTTCCCCCTTTAATTGAAGGCGTGCGGATACTGGGGGAGGGAAACTTGGGGATCTAACATGTCATCAAACGAACAAGGTAAACATAATTATAGGTAATTATATATATTTAGAAAAAAACACTACATTGTACAGAAACTGGGCTCGGAGCTATAGATGACACGTCGATGGGGGATATTTCAATTACAAAGCTCAAAACACGCTCATCTGGTTCCGTTCTGGCCTTTCTCGTGTCAGTCATGAAAATCAGAGGTTGAGCTAAAGGTGGCACACAATAGGCAACCGTAAACGCATATTATCACAAGCATCCGTCTACAAAATGTCAGTTTTTCAAGCACAAAGCACGCGAGCCTTCTTATTATCATACTTTACTCCAAAGATCATCCAGCGATGAATGGGAAGCTCTGTGAAGCTACTGTAGAATTTCCTTAAACCATGCAGCCTCACGTGCGGTTTCGCGTTATTTATATCTGTCGCTGCTGTTTGTAAGCAATAAGAGAGTGTCAGTGCTGACAGCTGCAACAGTTTCAACCGATGTGACGACACTGATCAGTCACGTTATTTAAACCAGCCAAGAAGAGAGCAGCAGCCATGTGGAGAGAGACACAAAGCTCCCGATTAAACCTGCGTCATGTTTCAGGCAAGTGATTGAAGCAAATACAAACGGGACTGAAGAAACTGTTGACTGTGGTGAATACACTACACAGCGTCACCTTTGCAACATCAGTTGGTTACTAACTAACCATCAGCTACAAAGTGATGCACCATGGGTGAATTGCTTTGCAGATCAGGGTTTAAATGTGCACGTATTTACTGCTTTCTTGCAAATTTTAGCCCTTTGCATTAGAATACTTCTTAATAAAGAAGTACTATAATCTTATGTAATATTTACTCATGTCTTAAATTCAATGTGTTTCGTGCCTGGATTCCATTATATCAGTATGTCCAGAGAGCTGACATACTGATATAACACTGATGCCCTTTGCCAGAGTCTGGACCAATAGAAACATGATGACAGTTGGGTCTCTTCATCGGTGGCAGTGTTGGGAAGGTTACTTTTAAAATGTATCCCATTACAGATTACAGAATACATGCCC